CCCAAAAAGACACACGCACTCTCCTCTCTTCACATCTGCCAAACAATCTGCTACATTCCTCTGTAATTTCTTAACCTATCAAGATGAGTAAGTTTTCTTCCTTTCTCTTAAGATCCTCTGTTCTGTTTTGTATGCTCATACTTCCGATTAGATGTTATGTTTTTTCGACCTTGTAGAGGTGTGGTTTTGCCGTAAATTGAACGATTTAACAGTGCAAAACGATGATGTGTAGCCCTAGAAAAGATTATTCAGCTCCTAATTGACGATTTTCATTCAGTAATGGAGTTCTGTTCTTGCGTCATTTGCCTTTTCATTTTTTTTTCCTTTTTAATAAAAATTCAGGATTTGCTAAGGCCAGCAGATTCATAGCCAAATTAGCTCGCCCCAGTGCTGTGAACGAGCATTCGCTTGCTACCTCGGATATTAAGGTTGATTTTATTCATTTCGGTTGATCTAATTTCATTTATCTGCCTAAAAGGCTTGAATTAATGTGCCCTTCTCAATTTATGCATTTCTCGTTCAGTTAAGGGATGACGCCTTGGGTGTTTGAGATGATGTTCGACGATGTGATACGTATTTTTTAATTTATTTGATTACTATTAACTTTTTGGATTGAGTATTTCGTATTACTGAAGGCATGAAAATGGTGCTTCACTTTTGATTAAAGCAGTATAGTGTAAGAGGATATGTAATCTCGTGTTCTCAATAGTAGGTGTTGCAAGTTGAGATTGATCGATCCTTCCCAAATATCAAACATGTTGATTCTACTACATTCAACTGCCCAAACCCTGTTGGCCCCTGGACTGGTTTCCAAGGACACCTTTAGTTATGATCCTGGGTATATTGTTTGATGTATGTTGTACTTCAGCAGTGACCTGGCTAGTCATTATTTATCATATAATATGATCTGAATCATTTTCACAGTAACTGGAAGAATTCCTAGCTCACTGTTTAAAGATTTCTTTTGTCAATATTTGGTGAGAACACAAAGATGTTTCTGGGCTATTGTTTTCAACTTACGATGCATCATTGTTTAAGGAATTTATTTGTAAGAGAAGTCTCAGTTTGCTTCATATTCAAAATTTTAACCTGCTTTGGTTAGTGAAAGCAATGGTCACACGTGTGTGATTCAATCTTTGCATTCTATTGGAGAACAAATGTTGTATTCTGAAATGCTAGACTCTACACATTCATTTCGGTCATTTTCGTGATTATTAACATTTTTCAGTATAATACTCAGAATGTTCAATCACTTCTCCCAAAGCATGCCCAAGGTGCTCATTCTAATGGCTCCAAGTTTTTCAGCACGCTTGCACTTTTAGGTGCCGGAACTTCTGGGCTTTTGAGTTGTGCTACCTTTGCTTATGCTGATGAGGCAGAGCACGGCCTTGATAGTCCTAGCTATCCGTGGCCTCACAAAGGCATTCTCAGTTCATATGACCATGCTTCGTAAGTAATTGCATCATTGTCACCAGAGAATGTAATGTTGGTTCTTTTTTTGCCATCAATTCTATCATAAAATCTTTCAGTCACTACTTTATGTGAACTTCAGTTCATGTTGATTGCTTGAAATGAGAGAGGATATTAATATATTATTTTTTGTCCCCTGATCTATGCTAGTATTTTTTTTTAAAATTCATTTATTTTAATTAATTTATGTGAACAGTATTCGGCGGGGTCACCAGGTTTATCAGCAAGTTTGTGCATCGTGCCACTCTATGTCACTTATTTCTTACCGTGACCTTGTGGGAGTGGCTTACACTGAAGAAGAAACTAAAGCAATGGCAGCCGAGATTGAAGTTGTTGACGGTCCGAATGATGAGGGTGAGATGTTTACTCGGCCTGGAAAGCTGAGTGATCGTTTTCCTCAGCCTTATGCTAATGAGCAAGCTGCGAGATTCGCAAATGGTGGAGCTTATCCCCCTGATTTAAGTCTCATCACCAAGGTAATCTTATGATATTTGAAAAATTTAGAGAGAAATTTAAAAATCAAAATACAGTTTACTGAATTTGTGGATTATTTTTCCTCTCAGGCTCGCCATAATGGTCAGAACTACGTGTTTGCTCTTTTAACCGGCTACCGTGATCCTCCTGCTGGTGTACAGGTAATTACTGCATCTTTTACCTTTTCTTTCCCACTTTCCTGTAGAGTGTTGAGTGTTGTAAAAACATTAACAAGTGTTGTTTTCAATATGGTCAAACGCTATCATCTATGAATATGAGTGCATTAACGTAGTTTATTTACTGAACCGAATCTGGTCAGATAAGTATTTGATACTTGAAGATGTGACTGTCATTGGATGTTTTTCTTGTAATTGTTTCTCTCTCTTTCCCCTTTCTTGTCTCACTCTTTTATTATTTGGATGAGTTACCAGATAAAAACTAAATCAGTTATCAGTATATTTATTGTATGTAAGTTATGTATTGTTGCCTTGCGTTGTTGAAAAATACCATAGATTCGAGAAGGGCTGCACTATAACCCATACTTTCCTGGTGGAGCTATTGCCATGCCTAAAATGCTTAATGATGGTGCTGTCGAGTACGAAGACGGGACACCTGCAACTGAAGCACAGGTGAGTTTGGGTCTTTGAGATTTGAGTTTGTTGTCTTTTTCTCATGGCTATTTTGGAGGCATAAATATGTATATTGCTATTTCCTTGTGCAGATGGGAAAGGATGTTGTGTCCTTTTTGTCATGGGCTGCTGAACCAGAAATGGAGGAACGAAAGCTGGTACTCATCCTTACCCCACCACCACTCCACATGCTCACTTTTAAATTTGATTCGTTTCTTCTAATTCATAGATGCCTTAAAGTTACTTGTTAAATGACCTCTTTTCTATTTAGAAGTGTATACAAGAACTATCTCTTGGGTTTAGCCTAGGAAGAAAGAAAACTTACAAATAACATGTCACCAGAAATACTGACAAATACTTCTTTGAGATTTGTAACTGCTTAGCAATTGTCCCTTTTGAGGGTGGTATTTGTCAAACCGAAAAATATATTTATAGTTTATTTCTTTTATTTACAGTAATTAGACATGATGCTTGTTAATTGATGGAACAAAGCAATAAAACAGATCAACTAGCAAATTAGTTTTCCATGGTAAATCAACGTGAAAAACAATCAAACTATTGCTGAAACTAATTTACAGTATAATGAGCCTTTAGTAGAAAAATTTTCCCCGTGGAGGATAGTTACATAGTAAACGAATTGGTCATGAAACTCTCCAGCTGCTACTATTTAGAAATTATTATTGGATTGTTATTCATTAGCCTTTGTTTACCTAATCCAACTTCACAGATGGGTTTCAAGTGGATATTTGTACTGTCGCTTGCATTGCTCCAAGCTGGATATTATCGGCGTTTGAGATGGTCGGTGCTCAAGTCCAGGAAGTTGGTCCTTGATGTTGTCAACTGAAAACCTTCTTCTAGTCTACTGGATTTTCGGGTTTGATGACGAGTGAGCATAGATAGGCATTTTGGGTCATGGGCTGTACCCATTACACATTTTACGGTCCACTGCAGATTTTGCATTCAATGGGTTCTAAATTATCTTTTGGGAGAATAAAGTTGTGCGTGACACCTATTTTGCATGCTGTTTAATTGTGGAAGAATTTAACTCTGCTATGAGGTTTGTGCTGTAACATAACTTCATCGGATAAAGTAGAACTGAGATTTGTATAACCTCAAATTTTCGTTTATTCCCTCCGTGAATGAAGTGCCTTGGGTGCTTGTGTGGAATGTGTGATTTGTTTCCTTTGGACCTCTTTGATTCATG